CGCTGTACAAATAAACTTGAATTGAATTGAATTGAATTGAATATACTGTATATAAAATTGTATGTAAATGTAGTATTAAATCTGAGTGGCAAATTTGATAGTCAGAATCATGATTAGCATTATGAATGAGTTTAATCCCATCATCATTATGATTGTAGGCTTATACTGAAGACCCAGAATCCTCTCTGCTCTGATCACTGGCTCTATTCCCTTCACTGCTCCACCTGTGAATAAAACAAATTCATAATTTTTATTAACACTAAACCAACAATAACCATTCAAAATATCATTCCTGTACATGGATGTTTCTAAAAATGTTGCATTATTTAGTTTTAAAGCCTGAACCTCTTCCAACTTATAAAATAAATGCATACGTGTATAAATCCATTAGAATTAGTAATAGCTGTAGTTTTGTGCAAATGTGTGCATATAAGAAAAAAAATCCCTGTTTTGACCCTGTTCTTAAAGCTTTAAAACGGCTTTAAAAAAAAATTTTTTTTTTTTGAGAACATAGTTCATATTTGAATATTTAAGTTTTTGGTTACAAACATCATATCACATATAGTCAGACCAAAATTTATTCAGACATCTTCAACATTTCTCACATTATCACAGTTTATTTGCTATAGTTTAAAAAAAATTGTAATAAAATAAAAAAAGAACTATGTCAAAACTGTGTCAGAACAAATTCATCCTGATAATGTCAGATAACTTTGTTAGAAAGGTATGTAACAAAACGGTTTGGTTTGACTGTATATTCATTTAACCAATTATTCCATTCCTTTTTTACTCACAATTTGTACAGTGTCCCAACTTTTTTGGAATTGGGTTTGTACTATAGTGAGGCCCTCCTGTGGATCCTCACCTGATAATGACACTCCTGTTCAGTTCATAGGTTGTGTCTATTCACAGTCTGTGCTGTTAAGAGGAATCAGAAGAGAAAATAAGCAGTGTTCATTTCATTTAAAAATTATTCAAGTATTTTAAACTGTAATGATTCACTGATACAATTAATAAAGCAGGTATTGTTGTATAAAGTTGTGGATGTGTGGTTTTGGTCTTTTGACTCCTTTGTGTTATATGTTTTTTTGGTAAAGCTTTAGAATGGTATTCTGTCATGATAACTCCCCAGGAATGACTTTACAGAAGCTACAGTAAGCTTTTGTAAGTGTTTTCTTTACAGAAAGGCAGATGAAGATCTCTTAAATATCACAAAGTGATGTTTACTCACCTCAGTTTACAAGTTGAGTTTTGTAGCACATCAATGAGCTGCTGCTTTGAGTCTCCAATGTTATTGTTACTCAGATCAAGCTCTTTTAGAAACTGCAGTGCTTTTGTGTTTGTCAAAGACTGAGTTAAAGAAGAAACATCTGTAATGCCACAGCAGATTAGACTAGAAAGAGATAAACAAAGATGGCTCACAAAACAACTTATAATAAACAACTGTAATCAAATATAATATGAACTCAGGCTCTGGTTTTATCTGTGATTTTAAGCATCATGATGGGTCTCACCTCAATCTCTCCAGTTTACAGTGTGAATCCTTCAGTACGTCACATAAACGATTCACTCCTGTGTTTTTTAGTTCATTCCAGCTGAGGTCCAGTTCTCTCAGGTGTGAAAGGTTTGAACACAGAGCTGAAGTCAGGATGAGACACTGTTTCTCTGTAATACTGCAGTTACACAGCCTAAAGACAAAAATAGAAAAGACAATGTCTCAATCTTACACTTAACTCACAATTTAAAGTAAATACAAGTACTTAATAAAAGTAAATACATTTAGTGAAACCATTAGTGCAGTATACATTTAATACTATTAGAAAATGTATTTCCATTCATGTTACACTGTTTTTAGTCTCTTGTCACCTGTCTTCTTTAGTGGCAAAGATTTATCAGAATTTAGAATTCAGCTTATGAAAAAATACTATAGCTACAAAGTTTCAAATGCTTCAGTTTAACCCTCTTTCTACTGATACACATCCTAAACCAACAGTCCATTGGATAATAGCATATTAAATGTTAATCAACACTGTAACTGCTGTACTGTATAAGGATATTTACTCTAGCTTCTCCACTTTGCATTGTGGGTTCATCAGTAGATCACTGAGGTTTTTCACTCCAGTGTCTCCTGGTTTATTCCCACTCAGGTTCAGCTCTCTCAGGTGTGATGGGTTTGATCTCAAAGCAGAAGTCAGGATAAAACACAGTTTCTCTGTAATACTGCATCCACTCAGACTGATGACAGAAGGAGAAAGAACAATTAATCAGATCCATGTTAAGTTAATGTGTGAGTTTAAATAAATCATGAGTAAACACCATCACATTTTAAGGATACTAGTTACACACAAGTAGGGGTGTGCGAAGAATATTTGTGATAATGATATTTATGACGATATAGGAAAAAAATATGGATCAACGTTTTATTGGTGATTGCAGCTGGCAGGCAGCAGCATTTATTAGTGCAAACACAATGAAGGGCATTTTCCATCCGTTCCCTTACCGAAAAGTAGTATACTTCAAGTTTATTTTAGCAAGTATACTTAAGTAAAGTTAAAGTATATTTTTAAGTATACTTTATGTAGTAAATATACAAATATCAGTGTATTAGTAGTATACTTGTAAGTGTACTATTTCAATACTCCTTGGGACTAAATTGGCCCACTTTCTAGTATATAAAAGTATACTTTTAAGTATACTTTAAGTATAACAGTTGTAAACTTTGAGTACACAACTAGTTTACATCAAAATGTTTAGTTTGTACTGCAACTATACTAAAAGTGAACTTATAGGTATACTGATAGTTTACTAATTAAATACTTGTAGTAGCATTTTTATTACACTTTGAAGTATAGTCTTAGTAAACTACTAGTTTAGTAGTTTTATACTGCAAGTATACTCGTAAGTTTTCTTTAAGTTAACTTTACATCATACTTTAAGTATACTACTATGTCCCTATTTAGGTATTAATTTGTATATATTTTGTTACATGAATATCTGAACATACAAAACATCAAAAGAACAAGGTACAAAGGTATCTGCTTGTAAACAATTTTTTTTTAACATTTTTAAACACTTGAATGTGGATAAGTTTCATAAATAAAAAATAAAGAAATAAACAACATTTTGAACAAAAAGCTGAAAAAAAGACTATGAATTGGATTCAGAATGATAATCAAAACGTAGATAAAGTCGATCAACACCCCAAAGCTTGACAGTCATTATTACCTCTTCATTGGTCGACATTTTATTCCATAATGTTACATAGTTTTGATACCGTTTTATGTCTGATGATCGTGTTAGATTACATGTGGAAGCATCTGTTGTTTCGGTTTCTTCTTCACTTGTGTTTTTTGGAAATTCTGTACAGAAGATGTGTACATGGGCCCACATGAAAAGGATCAGAAGCTGAACAGATGGAACAACAGAGCAAAGTTTGTGCGAAAAGACTGACTGCCAGCAGAAGATTGGCAAGGATTTTCCAAAAAGCAGACATTTACGAAAATTGCGTGTATCTTTATTGCACGCATTATATTGAAGACTCATAATCCACCTCATTTAAAAAAAATACAAAGTAAGCAAGTTAATACACACATTTTTGCTGAAATTCATTGTGCTGTTGTTAACAGGCATGGAGCTACTCAAAGAGGATATCAAACTCCAGAGAGAGACAGACAGAGGAGAGAAGAGCACAGGAGAGCAAAGAGAGAATGGAGGGACTGTTTTCTCTTCTTGAGAGAATGCTTAACAAATACATTATTGGCCATTCTCTATTAGGCAAGAGAAAGCAGTGGAAAAAATGGGACACATTATAGTTTTTCAATATCTTTTTTTAAATGTCACATTGTCAATGAAACAACCTAATTTCTGTAGTTTATTTTTGTGATGCAAGTTAAAAATGAAATGAATACATTGTATACATTATTCCTTTTTGTAGTGTAATTTATTTGTAAATGATCCTGAGTACTTTCTGTACAATTTGTATTTTTGTTTTGCATATTCACATGTGTAAATAAAAGAGAATTATTGTACATTCATTTTTTTAAATGCAGCTTATACTTTTCACAAAACATTCTTTTATATGTTTATTTTTTTGTCTTGTAAATAATTTTTTCCCAAACAAAGTGGTTTCGCTTTCACAACGAAGCACACAGCGTCTTCAGGACATGGCGGCAGCGGCAACAATATATTTTATGAGAACAATATATTTTATGAGAATAAAAGTTACGCCTTCTTTCTTTGCGTGAACATTTGGGCGGCGTTATGCAAATCTTCCCACATAGTGACGTAGATATGTGGGGGCGTGTTCGAACGAGCCGTTTTAGGTAGGTGTGGCTAACTCTTAACTTTTATAAAGAATATCTCTTTGGATTTGAGACTTTAGTCTTTGCAACTTTACAGATCTTCTTTATGCACCAAGAGCTTGTAACACTCCAAAGAGAAAGGAAAAAATGAAATCGCATCATATGACCCCTTTAATATTAAAACATTAATTCTGAACATAATTGCGGTCCTGGTTTGTTTGGACTATTTAAATTCAAAGTGATGAAAAAGTGAAATGAGAATTGAAATAAAGAACTGAAAAATATTGACCAGTCACAAACAAATTTAACTTTTTTCCCCCTGATGTTGTATGCTTAATGCATATAAAGGGCTTCTTTTCTTGCTAACATGAATCACATGATATGTCTTCCCTCAAAACAGCTTTACTGTGGAATAAAAACAGTCAAACAAAGAATTTTTTTTTCTCTCTTGCAAGATAAAACATTGATTCCACTGTATGCTCTTGAGGCTCTAGCAGCTCAGTTTCTGAGTCAAAGTGAAACCTGCTGCGGTCTGAGTTTAATTCAGGCCAGTTAAGAGCCAGAATAACCCAAATGAATGTGGCTTCTGTTGAGTGGACAAACGTCTTGCTCCTATTTACTATTGCATGTGTGCGGTTGACATTATTTTCCTTTAAGTCAGATTTCCACTCTACACAAAGATTCATAGTATAATGAATTACTCAACAGTGATACTTCACACCAGATTATTAATTATTTTGCAACAGTTTAATTGATTTTGTTCCCATACAGCGTGGGATAATAGAATATTATAAATCTAAATAAAATAATACACATTAAAAAGGATCTCTTCAAATCACTATACATATAGGCCTACATAAAAATAATAAAATATTAGCAAATTAAGCATTGCTTGGAAATAAAATATTGCTTCAGAATATACAGATGTCTTTGAATGGTCATCAGTTTAACAAAATCTTACTTGCACGGTAAGAACATTATGGTGGTGTTTGTTATTCATTCATTACATAGCAGACAAACTGCAAACATGCTAAATGCATATAAACTAAATAATGAGAACCTAAAATTCTGTATAATTTTCACTTAATAACACACAAAAGTTTAGATTTTAGAAGTGTCTAAATAGTCACAATCAACGGATTGAAGTTGGCAATTCTGACTAAATCGGAGGCAGATCGATATCCGTAACCACCTTCTGTACTACATATCCCACAATTAAAGTTGGATGCAATTACGAAGTCAACTAGATTGAAAAGTTTGTAGACAAACTTTAAGCTGGCTTGAAAAAGCCTAGCTAGAAAGTTTGAAAAAGTACGAAAAGCTTGCAGTCTGAAAGTTTTCAGTTTGAAGTAGTTTGAAAGTTAAAATAGTTTTAAAGATTAAAGTTTGAATATTTTCAAGGATAACAAAAAACAGATAGGTATAAAACATATTGCTAGGGTACCTGGGGTGGTTGTTAGGCTGTTTCTAGCATGACTAGCGTGTTGCTAACATGTTTTTAGCATGATTAGCATGTTACTAGCATGATGCTAGCATGATTAGCATGTTTCTAGCATGATTAACATGTTGCTAGCACAATTAGCATGTTACTAGCATGTTGCTAGCATGATTAGCAAGTTACTAGCATGTTTCTAGCATGATTAGCACGTTACTAGCATGTTGTTAGCATGTTTCTATGCTAATCCAGCTAAAACCAGTTGATTCGGTAAAAAGAAAAACAGCTAAAAAACAGCTAAAACCAGGCTGGCCTGCTAAAAAAGTGGCCAGAACCACTTTAAAACCAGCTTGGGAGACCAGCCAAAGCAGTCAATCAGCTTAGGCTGGTTTTAGCTGTATTTTCAGTAGGGAGTTGTTAAGCTTTGCTATAGCACTAGACAGCTTCTAGGAGGAGATACATTTTAAAATTTGGTCTCAGAAGAAAAAGTTTAAATAGGATTTCAGTAAGTTGGCTTTTTCAAGTCAACTTAATTAGAATGTATGCACTAGCCTATGTCAAACCTTTATAACGAGGAGAAAAAATGTCAACCCGTTTTACAAGCAGCCCAATTCCGCGAGAAAACGGTTAAGGCTAGATGGGACAGCTGTGGCTACATGCCCACATCAATTCTTGCGTAATTTTTGTCACGCTGAACAACAATAAATACTGTATTTACATTATTGTAAAGGGTGGGGGTAACGTTAGACGTTAATAAAACACAATCTTATAGGTAGCAAATTTAATTTATTGTTACTTTCCCGCCCGCTGCAGCTGTATCCCTTCTAGCCACAACCCGGCAAAAAGAAAAAAAAACCGACCCTGGCAACAACCTACTTCCGAAAGCACAACCGGACCAGCTTCTCTAAAACTCTATTGGTTGACCAGATGCATACGTCACAACGTGTTGCCGCCTGGGCGAGGTCAAGCGCGCGCACTGTCAGAGTTCTGTAGGGTTTCTATGTTGGGCTCAAAACTTTACAGCTTTAAGCAAAATTAACATATGAATTACCTTAAAATAATGACACACGAGTTTCAGTTTTCTGAGGCTTTACGAAAATGATTCGCACACTTGATTTGTTATTTTTGTTGTGTCTGGTTGGTAAGTTATACATCTATGTTTATAAAAAAAGTGTTATCATAAAGTAAGAAAATTAACATTAACGTTTAAATATTTACGTCGTTTAATTTTGTTCTGCAGGTGTGTTTGATGTCGAGTCACATGAAGTGTCAGTGATGGTAGGAGATTCTGTCACTCTGGACTCTAATGCTTCAGAAATCGAGCAGAAGAATGAGATCGAGTGGAGGTTTAATGACATTCGCATAGCTAACGTAATAATGGGCAACCCTTCATATCATGATTATGCGAGATTTAAAGACAGACTGAAGCTGGACAGAAACGGATCTCTCACAATCAAAGACACCAGAATAACAGACACCGGAGTCTATAAGTTGAGTACCATTATTAGTAATAGGGAGTCAACCAAGAGATTCAGTGTTACTGTTTATGGTGAGTAGAGTATAATATGTATAATTCATATTCATAATAGGCTACTATTCTCATAATAGTCATATTTCAGGATGGTTTTAATATTTGAATTTACAGATACATTTCAGACTGTGGTCCCACTTTATTGTTAAAACCGTTTCAACTTTTTTTATTTTATTTTATTACTTTTTTATTTATAGAGGCATCAATTGTTGCACTCTTGAATGCACATTAGTTGAACCAGCCATCTTATATATATATATATATATATATATATATATATATATGTGTGTGTGTGTAAAC